AGAGAGGGGGCGCGCATCCTCGTTACTTTTAATTCAAAAAGAGTGACGAGTTATCTGCCTCTCTCATTCTTAAGACTTGGTTTTATTTAACTTTTCAAAGTAAATTCTTTTAACTCGCGAATGCGGAATGCTCCGGTCGACCGCTCGCGTTTCCACGACGACTTTTTGTTCCGTCCAATCAATCGATTCTTATCAAAGCGCCCGGTCTCTCGTCTTTCATAGAGAGAACTTAAACGAAGAGAACACGAAGTCACTCGTGAAGATCATGGATCACTGACACTCTAACGATACCATTTAATTCCGAAGCACTATTGTTCACGTACACATTTAACAACGTTCCCATTCATTTGGCTGTATAATCTTTGCTGTACTCTTATATCTATAATATCGTATTACTTTTTAATAATAATTCTAAATTACTCGTATTAATTTTTAATAATAATTCTAAATTAATTAATTTAAATCGCAATAATAGTCCGTACACACACACATAATAAAATTATTCCCTCGTAACGCTAAAGATAGAATTGGAAAGAAATGTTACTCAATTGACTTTTAGATAGGCCTTTTACTTATTTATCTGGCTTTGAATAATTTTTTAGGGAAAATATCGTTCCTTTTGTAAAGAAACTCTGGTTTTAGAGCAGAGTATGAATAGCTCGACTCTGTTCGCGATGATCCAATAAATCTCTCCATCCCACACAATTCCACTTGTCCGGTCATCGCCCGCTAACTCGTAGAGCTACCTTTTAACGCGAAGGGTTGCTTGCGAAGGGTCGGGAGGTTGCTTGCCGCTTGAGTGCGACAATAAGGAACAAAATCTACGGAATGGTGCCACGTTATAATAGTGCTTTTTCGTGCTTCTTCGCTATGAATGGCTCGCGGTCGTCTTGATATCCCTTTACCTGACACGCTGACGTCGTCACGTCTCAGATCGGCGTGAGCGAGGCGTACATTTTCTCGCACAAAAGAGTATCGGAAACTCCGGAGGACTTCCCGCTCTTCCTTGGATTCTTCCGACTTTTCTGTCATTTTGCGTGAAGTTCTATCGATAAATTCTCATTCTTTCTCCGGATACGACTGTTTACGTATCGTCGGTCAGCTTTAAATCTTTTTCAATAATGAAAACAACATACGCGGTATCTGTAAATCGTTTCCGTTATAAATTTCCAGTATCTTATTCATATTTTATAAATGTTTGAACGTAAGCTCATTAAATAAATAAAAGCTTTATTTTTATTAAATTGAAAAGTAAATTGATTGCGTGGAAATTGCGCGTTACGTAATCTTCGCATGATTTTTAATATCAAAAAAATTTAGCCGAGCAAAAGAGAACTTGCGTGCATGTAATTTTCTAAAAGCTTAATTCTTAACTTTAGTAAATGTATGCACATAGAATGAGTCAGTCATGAGTCTTTCATTTTTACCTTTGTAAAATTGTTATCATAAAATACTACTAAGCGTTGTTACTTCCTTGCCGCGTAGAATATACTTTGTATGGAAATATAAAAAATCCGATTTTTGGATAGTTTTTTTTTCGTGTGGTGCATACTTTGATATTATTATCGTTATACGATTATTGTTACAGCTTGTATGATGGACTTTGCAACGGAAACCGTAATGCAATTATGCCATGGTAAGCGGCGATGCTCGGTGGTGGCTAACAGCACAACGTTCGGCAGACCAGACCCTTGCAGCCCAGACAGTAAAACGTATCTCAAAGTCGTGTATACCTGCGGTGAGTGAAAAAAAATTCCCTTGTCTTTAATCCTCCTGTTATAACTAACCTGTTATAACTCCTGAAATAACTAAACAGCATATCTCACAGTATCATAGCTAAGAATTCAGAAATAAAGTTTATTCAGCCATTCGTATTTCATTAATAATATATTCACCGTAAATATCCATACATTTAAGAAATGAGATAATAATAATATAATAAAATAATAAGATAAAATATATATAGATATAATATAATAAGATAATAATAATAATAATATCTTGAGATAACAACAGATAATAACAGACTAATTTTAAGCGCGAATTAGAAAAATATTTGCTACATTTTCTGCTGCTGCTGCTGCTGCTGTTGCAGCAACCTCTATAAATAGGATGAGGAAGTTGATGATTGAGTTGCAATAATATTACGAAAAAATGGCGGAATGATGGATGCAGCGTCTAGTCGTCCAGAGAAAAGAGTAATTATTTATTTAAACGGGAAAATTGTACGAGTGTTTTCCTGAGATAGTGTAGCCGGCGGCGATTCACTGTAGGAATCCTTGAAAAGTAGTGAGAAAAACTGATATTACGGCGCCGTGCAATAACGTGTTCGGTAGGGGGATCTATTCGAAGCTCGCTACACAATGGCGTATAATGAGCGCAAGAACGTTCTTCGTTGAGGAGAAGTTATTTTATTGGAAGGTACGAAGTAACCGGCGCGGCAGCAACGAGTCAGCGACAGTTTTAAACAAAATGACGTCGTCGCAGGGTCTTTCCTTCAGCTCGGGGACACGGGATTCGTACTGAATTTCGTACCTGACATTTTTAATGGGCACTCTCCCCAGGCACGATGTGTCACGAAGAATGGCGAAAGAAACTGTTGTGAAAACTGTCGACGAAAACTAACGAGCGGCATCACCGGAGCGTATTCCGTAGAATGACGTCGCAGGACGTTATCCTCTCGAGAACGGAAAAGTAGAATTTCCGGCCATCGCCGTGATACGAGATGCAATTTCAGCCTTGTTTGTTTACCCGTTGTTTGTTCGCGAAAAGAGTTCGATGGAATATATCCATGATAATAATTTTACTGCCGAGCGCCGATTACGTCTCGCGCGCGCGGTTCGCCGCGCATTTTTGCGTAAAACTGCAGCTAATCAAGAATTCGTCGCAATTTAAAAAAATAAAAGCCGCGTTTTTCCTATCCGGAGTAGGACGAGTTTGCAGTTTGCGTCTAACCGCGCGCGGTATTTGCATCGCATGAGTTGAATTTTCGAGCGCCGAGCATACGGGCACGAACGTGCCCGTGTATACAAACTCTTTTCGCGAAAATCTTCGAATCTTTTCAGCGAAGCCGCAACGCCGCAATAACATTCTTCGCGAAAAGTTGCACGCGAATTGGAAGACGTTAACAGGGGAACTTTTATATTACTTGCTACACGCTTATGCCACCCTCGCAGGAGCGACGAAAAAGCAAGCATACGGTTGTCGCGGTGTTACTCCATGCTCGGGACCTTTTTTTTTTACTTTTGCGAGCGAAATTACACATACCCCCTCCCCTTCTCCCGTACACATGCATTTTGTCAGCGAATAGCGCTGCGCGCTCTTATAACTTGATATTACTTTGTTGCGGAATACCTCGTTTACATTAATCGTAACCATCTTTCACTTCCTTAACAAAGGGAGGAAAGCGTAGAAAAGAAAGTGCCATGTTATAAAAATATGCTGTAATTTTTCTTGAAACGTGTAAAATTTATTCCTACCGTAGAAACTGGCTCGTGAATTCCTCGCTATAAAACTTACTTTAAGAATTGGTGAAAAAAGGAAGCTGGATGAGAAAGAGGAGGAGGTGGAGGATTGAGAAATGGTTCGTGTATCAAGATAGCGTTACGCATAATGAATAACATTATTCTTTAACTTAATACTTTCATTTAAAGCGCCCCTGCCCCTGAGATATTACATTCTGATTTTACTTCGATGGCACTTTGGGAGCTTGCCCCGATCATATTCGGGCGAAGTTTCAGACGCGGCGCGATCGTAAAATGTAAAAATCTCCTGTATATTTTGTTAATACGAGATTACGGATGAAAATTTCTTGATTAAAAGGATCGGGGCTGAATTTTTTTTCGCTGGCTCGAAATTCAGTTTGCGATTAAAATGGTAAGTGCCTCTTGGCAGGTGGAAGGGTAGGGAATCGCGCTGGCCCTTTCGTGGCTCGTCGCACGTCAAATTACCGGCCGTAAACGAACGTGCACGGATTATGATTCGCGCGACGTAGCCGAGAACGTATTTGCATGTGCCTGTGAATGGCCGATGCGAGCTCATTAGTCAATGTCACTTCGGTTCCTGTTACCGACCGGCAACGTTTGCGAAAGGAAAAAAAAAAAAAACAGAAAGAATCGTCGCTCGGTATTCTAATTTGGCGGCGAGTCATGCATAGTTCTTCGTGGCACGCGGCTCTCCCTCGGAGGCAAAATATGCGCATTCGTTGCTACGTGAAAAAAATTCGTGAAATAATAAGCGTCCGTCGATTCGAGTCGATTACATTTCGTCGTGATCGAACGATTTTGAAATGTCGTGAAAGCGCATTTTAGAGAAGAATTTTTAAATATTGTTATAAAAATAAAATACCATAGAGTGCGAAAAGTCTAGTAGATACGACCCTTTACAAAGGTAAATGGTTACCTTATGTTTCATTTATTAAGTTAAATGTTCTCCCTTTTTCTCTTAAAAAAGCGAAGCATTATTTGTATTTTTCAAATCGAGATTGCTCCTTTTATAAAATATTAAAATATTATGAATTATTTCGAAATAAATTTACCGTAAAGTGAATAACGTAAAGAAAACATATTAAAGTTATTTGTCAACTTACTTTCAAATAATTTGAAACATTCTGACGCGAGATCCAATGTTCCTTCTTATTCATGCATGTATGCGCACACGGTGCCAAGAGAACATGCTCGAGGAATAATAAACTGGCTTGATAAGAAAGTAAGGCTTGTTGTGAATCTACTTTTTTCGTAACAGATATAATTTACTGAGATTTGGAAAATCGGGTTGCGTAAGAATTACATTGAAATTACAAAATGCTTTCAGTAAAATTAAATAACGTGAAACACATAATAATATAAGTAAAAATGTTTTTATATCATAATTGGTTTTTTTTATATTTAATAAAACGTAGGTACAAATTATATATGCAATACTTGTAATTTATATTTATGTTATATTTGTATTTTTTCTTTTACATTTGAGGATTGGAAATGTAAGTAATCTTAATAATATTTGCAACTAAAAGATATCAAAACAGATGAGAAATTACGATATACTATCGATATGAAATTAACATATAGCGAACGGCAATATCAGAAATATTCTTTCCGTTGAACTTGCATTCGATCGGATGACGGTATCCAGAATGAAATCAAACGTACTTCCCATACCATTCATACTATTTCTGTAAAGCGTGCTCGTTGACTTCTTTGCTGAATTCTCCCTGCTGGGGCATTCACTTGGAACAATTATCGGACGATTTCAAAGTGTAATTGGATCCGCATGAATTATCAATGTACATCAAAGTCCTACCTCCTTCCCCTTTGATCTGACACGAGCACAGATCGTCAACCGCGCTGGAGTTGAAAGTGAAGCTCTGGAAATCCGCGTTTCTGCGAGATATAATCGAGTTCCGATCGATTATCAGCATCGAAAATATGCTAATCAGTTTCGAGATACTCGGAATGTATTATTGTTATAATATTATATAACAAAATTGACAGAATCGAAGATACTAGAAATATTTATGAGATATTTCTGCTTTCGTGAAATTAGATATCTGACCTCAATTTTATAAATACGAAAATTATCGTCACACTTATACGAAATATATTGGAGAAGAAGTAGAAAAAGTCATCTCTTTAATGTATCCTAACTTTCTATTCTATTCTTTACCTTTCCACTTCTTTCTTATATTGAAGCGTATATTAAAAACAATAAAAAGACTGTTCCCGGGAATGACTTGGACATTATGAGAACATAAAGTCCCCAGATAAAATGCTCTCGCCGTGATATACGTATAAAATTTTTAATCGTCACAAATTAGTCTCCAACCGCGTTAAACATATATTTTTCTGCGAGGTAATATCCGCGAAGTAAAAAATCCCTCTTTCAAGCAGAACTTATTTACAGCAGAAGCTATTAAAGAACTGTATCGGCGGAGGGGAGGACGAAGGAAGGGTAAACTTCAGGAAGGAAAATATTCAAAGCATATTTTTTTCTGGTAGTATGCGAACTTTCATAAATTATAAGAGGCACAATACCACACGGTACCATCTATGAAGCCGTATAAAGCAATTTCTGATTCCATTCATCAATTCTATTTAAGCGGCTGCTTCATTAACCGCAAATTTATTCCATCACTGCCTTTTGCACTTAACGTTGCAACTGTTTCAGCTTGTGTAATTAGATTGGCTAAAATTATGAGAACGACTCTTGAAAGATGCTGAAAAATACAGATTACTTTTTCCAATCAATACTCATGTAGAAAAAAAAGATATTTAATCGATTAATCAAAGGGTTTTCATTAAATTATTTCTTGTTTTTAAAATTACATTGTATATGTTGTACCAATTGATTTTTTTATTTTATTAATTCGCCAACCGAATCTCTTCGTCGTTTGATTTGTTAATTACACCAACGAAGTTTTGATACGAACCGTTAAATATCACGTAGCTAAACTTTTCCAGATAATGTTGCTTGATTAATCATAAATCATAATAATGGTTATTAGCTGGCGTTATATACAACAAGAATGAGCAACTTGAGAATTCTCACGAGTCTGTTATATTACGTCTGTTATATTAATTATTATCCACGTCTGTGTCTAACGATAGAAGCTAAATTCATTCAGCGGGATTTCATCATCCATTTCCCTGGTACAAACTGAATCAACCGTTGATTTTACACATGGGATCTCGTTGACAAAGTGAATGTACATACGCAGCCTACGTCCAAAGCCAAATCAGT